GTGTGGAGAAGAACTGGTGAACGGTTTAATCAAAATTTAATAACAGAATGCCAAAAGTTTTAATGGTGGGTCCGTTATGGTGTGGGGAGGGATTACAATGAATGGAAAGACACCCCTTCATGTTTTTCCGGTGAGGCAGTCGATGAATGCCCAAATTTACATCAACATTTTAGAGCAGTATGTCTTACCTTATGCAGTTAGTGGGCAATAATTTTATATTGATGCAGGATAATGCCCGACCACACACCGCAACAATAGTGCGAAACTTCTTAGAAGCTACTGGTATTACCACATTACAATGGCCAGCGAGAAGCCCCAATATGAATCCTATAGAACATTTGTGGGATGAATTAGGGAGATGGGTACGTTCTCGCGAGAGGTCTCCGGAAAGTCTCGCAGAAATGGCAGATGCATTAGTGGAAGAATGGGATCGTATACCAATGGAAACGATAAGCAACTTAATTTCCAGTATGCCTCGTAGATTAGAAGTTCTTAGAGTTGCTAGAGGAGGCAATACACGGTATTAAGCAGTCATCCCAATTTATAATTTTGTGTTTAATGAAAATGTTTTTTAAAATTATTGGTATCAGTTGATTTCATTAGAAAATTGTTCCTTGATAAATTCAGAAAGTTGGTAATCTGCAAGGATTCAGCAAAAAATGCTGTAATTCGGAGAATTTTAGAGATAAATCAATGAATAAAAAAATAAAATGCTCGCAAAAGAAGCCTCTTTCGTATAGGGTGTAAGCACTTTCTATGCCATTACTCAATTAACACGCAGGGTGAGTCAAAAATTAAGAATAAATCATGGTTCGAGTTATTCCACCACCATCAAGGAGGCTTTGAAAAAATTTTCACCTCATTATTTTTTTTTCAAAGACAAATGCATTACCTACCAACAAATAAAAATCGGCCTACTATTTTTTTTTCAAGAAGATAGGTCAAATATCAAGTGCGTCACTTTTTTTGGAACTGAGTGTATTTTTAAATCATAATACATCATATTATTTATCAGATTTGAGAATGTCAATTCTCAATTTCAGAGGATTTCCATTTGTCATGCTCTCCTTTTGGATGTTCAATAGATATAATTCAATGTTCGACTTGGCAAATAGCCAGGAAAGTAGTTGTTTTCTGTTAGATAGATAGATAGATTTTATTTCATTTGTTAAATAGTACAGCTGTACAATAACAAAGAAAACGTCAGTAATATAAAACATGCGAAAATAAATAAATAATAGACATTGTGAATAAATAATGAACATAGAAAATATATATAAAGAACAACACCTTTTGTTACAACACACAATTATGACAAGAATTCGTCAATAGTGTAGATATTCCTATTTGTCTTGGGGGCAGTTTTAATACTATTATTCAATTTGTTGTAAATTTTGTACCCGAGAAAGAACTGGCTTCTCTGAAATATTTGTGTATGGTGCGGACCTCGAACAAGTATATTTCTGGATCTTGTTTCATGCGAGTGATTCTCTCCATTTGAAGATGGACGAACAAAAATACACAGCTCATATACATACAAGCCTGCTACGGTCAAAATGTTTAAGCTTCTAATAGTGTCCCTACATGAATCCCTCCAGCCTAGACCTTGCACTATTCTAATTGCCATTTTCTGTAGAACTAATACTCTTTACCATGATTCACATGTACCCCACTGGAGTATCTCATATTTCAAGTGACTGTTGATGTTGGCATAATATAGGCTTAATAATATAGATTTGCTACATTGATTGGACATAAATCTCAGGGCATAGCAATTCTTACGAAGTTTTGCACAGAGACTTTCAATGTGTGGTTTCCAGCTCCACTTATTATCAATAAAGATACCAAGTAATTTTGTTGTTTCTGTTGCACCGACTCTCATACTTTCATTAGTTCCGTTCTTAAAAATAGAGATGCTGTCAGATTGACTACACAAGGAAAATTTTATTAACATCGTTTTTTGGACATTGAGAGTTAGGTGGTTCTTTTTCGACCACAACCTAACTTTTTCATAGAAAGTTTCCGTTGTCTCCACAAGACTTTCAAGATCTTTTTGCATTACAAGTATACTCGTGTCGTCATCATACGATATTATTCGAGTTGTCGATAAATTATGTAAATAGTTCTCCATGTGATGAAAATATAAATTCTTTCTGGGTTTATTCTACAGAAAACAACTACTTTCTATGTGCCACGACGAACATTTGAGAATAAATTCTTCTAGAGTTGAAAATTTGCATTATCCTTCAAATAATAAACTGCTCCACATTTGAAGTGAGACAAGCAGATATTTTGTTTGTTTTCGAACCTTAATAACTTTGGATGGGATCAACCGATTTTTGATTTTTTTGGGATTTGGATTGCTCAGTCAATTGGGTATAACATAATTTTCTTCCGTTTCTCCACCTTTTCGGAATCATGACCTACAGGATGATATCTGAAAGTGTGATAATTTTAAAAAAGTTTGAGGTCGCCCCGTTAGTAGGATAATTTTTTTAATTTTTTTCTGTCTCCAAAAACATGAAGCCTGATGTGTTTTCTCGAAATGGTTTCAGATTCGTCAAGATCCATACAGGATGTTTTGAGATATGCAATTTTAAACAACATGTGGCATCTCGAATTGTTTGATTAACTTGAATTCATTGGTTTATCCCTCGGTATAATCTCACATTGTCTGAGAAATAATCAGAAGTTGTCATACTTCTGATTATTGTAATAAAATATTCCACGACTAACTAATGAACAATCACAAATGGTTAGGAGAATGAGATATCGTGGATTGAATGCTGTAGACATTGGACAGTATTTCTACACATCTAGAGCTTCAATATACACGGCAATCTGTCGTCACGATCAAACAGGAGATCCTGATTATCGTCACGGAGGTGGACGACAGAGGAAGACTTCTGCGAGAAATGATTTCTTAGTTACTTCGGTACGTCGTATTCGAACACAGACTGGGGAACAGGAGTTGTCTCAGATGAGACAATTAGAAGAAGGCTTCATGAACGCAATCTGAGAGCCAGAAGGAAGGAATCTTGTACTCGGTTAAAGCTTAACTATAGGATAGCTCGAGGACTTTGGGCACAGAACCAGTTGAACTGGGGAATAGCTGACTGGAGGAGATGTTTGTTCGTTGATGAGAGTAGGTGTAAAAATATAATGTTATATTCTACAAAATATTGTATTTATAGCCAGAAACATTCAACATCATTGTTGTTTTGGAATGATGATGATGATGAGAAATCTCACATTTCCAGAGGAAACAATATTCCACTATATATACTGGAGCAACAATAAAAGCACAATTTCATTCATAAAATAATCATTCCACATTCATTTTATTCCTCCCTACAAACTAACAGTCTGATTGGCACGAGTATGTCACAAATATCGCTAAAGCAGTTTCAGAGAAGCTGAGATTTTTCTTTTGCGCCAAGAAGTACTTCCTTCACACCGCAGCGGCTGTTGACTCTTACTCTTTTTTTTTTTGTAGCACATCGTCACTTTGGAATTCATCTTCTGTGGATTTCTTCCCAGAAAATTATAATTTGACATATTTCAAGAAAAGGATTCACAATTTTTCATCATCCAGTGCTGGCAGTGCCTCTGTGGCATCATAGGTCTATCCTTTTGGAAACACTCATCATAAAAAGAATACCCAGACAACATGAGACTCTACCGTGGGGTTAACCAATGAATTTAAGTTATTCAAACAATTCAAAAAGCCATATGTTGTTCAAAATTGCATATCTCAAAACATCCTGTATGGATCTTGATGAATATGGAACCTTTTCGAAAAAACACATCAGGCTTCATGTTTTTGCAGTCAGGAAAAAATTTGAAAAATTATCCTACTAACGACGCGACCTGAAAGTCATGATTCCGAAAAGTTGGAGAAACGTAAGAAATGTGTGTTATACCCAATTGACTGAGCAATCCGAATCCCCAAAAATATCAAAAATCGGTTGATCCCATCCAAAGTTATTACGGTTCAAAACCAAACAAAATATCCACTTGTCTCACTTCAAATGTGGAGGAGTTTAGTTATTTATACACCAAGCTAGTAAAGAATATCATTATTACCCAGGGACCAAGATTGTTTCCCGATGCTTCAGCCGAGGGGTATTAGGTCCGGTGGTAATAATATTCTTTACTACCAAGGAGTATTTTGCATTTTTTTCACCACTAGCACTATATACCAATCATTATAGTTCTGTGAAACCTCAATGTGAACCTACGTCACTATGAAAGCACTTCCTTTTCGATTCTAAATAAATTCTAGTCACCATGACAGCTTATGACAAGTTGTTATTGATGAATACCTACTAGATTCGAGTGTCATTCCTGAATTCGGGTCAATTATAACAGAGATGGATTTGTCTTTATTGACTAGTGGTTCATACAAAACTACCTCGGTAGTGAGAACACACTTTACGCCTCGAAAAGGAGTGAATAATGGTAGGTTTTATAGCTAGTGGTGGAAAAACACATAAGTGAATTGCTTCAGTAATTTAGCAGAAGTGCCAGAAAATCGATTTGAAACTCTCTTTTTGTTTCACTATCATGACATGACAATGATTATGATGATTGGAGATTCAATAATAATCACTATGTAATACAGGCTGAAGGACCTTGGCCGGTAGCCTATTGGGTATGTAGTATAGCTAGTTGGTTATTATTATTACTAACGAATAGCTGTCAATGAGAGCAACTCGGTGTTTATGAGTTTCAGACGAAAAAATATAATTAGCAAAATTATAATTTTCATTATAACATTGAGAAACATATAAGTTGATGAGTTGGCTGGTTGATGAATTGGGTGTTGATGAGTGTTTAAAGCAATACAGAACATTTATATCCGAGGGAGATGAATTCATCAATTTGGTTTTGCTGTATATTCACTGTACTCAAGTTAAAGTACTTGGAAAAAGAATAAGCAGATTCAGATGACCTAAATCAATGATCGTACCATATTATTTGATGAATAAAATAATTACCTCCTTCCCTGACCAGATATAAATTCCTAGAATCCTTTGGTTCTTTCTTCTTATCATGTATGCCTTGATTTCGCTTGCCAACATCCTCTCTATCAAGTGCTTTATGGCAATCTAGAATGTTTCCTAATAACTTTAATTCTGTGCCTGCACCAAGAGCTTTATCAGCATCCTCTTTATTCTGAAATGAAAAATATCTATTGTTAAATCAGCATATTAATATATAGTGTGTCCACCTCAAGGACTCACCACTACTGTAAAATCTATATTTTTTTAAAAACTGACTGTAGATAAAATGTTTCATAGATGAGAACCCAAAGTCATCTGCACATTAGAATGCAATTTCGAGCGCAGTGACATTATGGAGATCTAATAATTCTATAGAGACAAGGAGAGAAAATCCCAAAAATCTAGAGAGAACAATATTTTGTATTGATTATGATTTTTTTTTATAAAGTATTAGCCAACACACTTTCTCCACTCCAAAATCATAGATTGATAAAGACGAATGTCAATTAGTGAATTTCTCGCAGTTCCCAATTATTTTTTTATTTGAATCATATACACTGTGTCCAAGATAAGGATGTCTATCATGGAGATCGATTTCATTTTTTCTGAAGTTATTTGAAGAGATATAGAAAAACAAAAGACACTTTCTCATTGCCACTTTTTCAGCTCTACATACAGCGTTGCGAGATTTTCCGTACGACGTTTCGTTTCAGATAAACCATCATCAACTTTACCCCCTGATAGACATCCTTATCTTGGACACCCTATATTTATATAAGTAAGTGTTCTTTTCACACAAATTACTTGAGCACTGGGTATTTCATTATGACAACAATACACTAGCCAAAATTTAACAATTAATTCCATGTCTTTACAACCCTTGACGTGGTTTTCTTAAGTGTATTCTTCTCTCCTGAGTTGCAGTTCAACATGGGAAGAGGGGACTTTTGGTTAGCACTGTATATTACATAATTATATAAGCCCGTGATGCTTACTAGGACCTGCCTGAGAATCAAATCAAATGACAAATGTTCACAGACAATAAGATTTCCACTGAATTCTTAATAACACAACATGTTTCGCTAATACAGTAGCATCTTCAAGTGAAATACTCGTACAATAAACTAAACTTACGTTGACTTGTCTAACTTTAATAGAAACTACCTGTGGAAAATCCTTCAGGTTCGGGATATATTTAAGTTAGGCAAGTTAACGTAATGTCTCACTTTGTGTAGATAATCAGCAACATATTTTTTCGGCAACCGTCCGAGAAGTGCTCACTTCTCGGACGCTTTTTCTTTGAGAAAGTAGCATTTTTCCGGCCTAGTCCGGGCAGTGCGTACTTCCCGGAATAGGCCGGGAAGTATCACATCGTTGTTGTCACTGTAACTATGAAAATCTTGGTAGATATGGTTTTGATAAATGCAGGTGATAATTACCATAGTAGCGAAATATCGACTGACAGCTATTTGACATGAAATTAGTTGACATTTTGATTTTTGAAAGTTTGGTTGCAAACTATCGAAAGCAGCATAGACTGTTGGCCGACACAGGGTTTATCGATGTTCTAAGTCGGTATGCCATTCAAGGGACCCACTCACTTAGTCCAAGTTAACAGGAAACAGTGCCTCGGAGAGTCGCAACCCAGTCCTTGCTCCGGCCCTGACCTCACCTTTCGGTTGGAAAAAAGTTCAAAAGAAGAAGCTCGGCAATGAAGTGCAATGATCTTATCTCACGAAAATTGGGGCGGTTGCCAGTTTGCATACGCCTTGGTCACTCCCCAAGGGCGGCATACGAACCGGAAGTGGCAATTTTTCAGTGTTCTAGTCGATGATCTAAGAATGTATGCCCTTTGGCGAAACAATGAATTCGGACCCATTAATAGGTTTCCCGACATTTGCATACGATTCCGGAGAGGGGAGTTTGACTTATTCGAACATCAATTGACTACACATTTTTCATATAATCGATAATCGAAGAAATGTTCAAAGGACCCCGCACTAAACTATAGGAAAAATGGCTCTCGATGAAAATCGCTGAATTTTTGGTATGTTGCAGACTTTGATATACTGATCAGATATTCCATTGAACTAGCCTCAAAAAATGGACAGTTTTTCTGATATTGACCTCCAAATGTCATTTTTTCGAGAAAAAAAAGTATCTGAAAATGTTTGAATGTTTGACATGTTTTAGATAGCAATGAACTGATGAAAAAATCTAATTGACATAACCTCCAAAAATTGACAGTTTCCTCAATATTGACCTCCAAATGTAATTTTAAAAAAAAAAAAAAATCTCTGAAAATGGCTGAATTTCTGGTATGTTGTAGATCGGAATTAACTGATGGAAAAATTCAATGACCTAACCTCAAAAAAAAATTACACATTTTGGATATTGACCTCCAAATCTACACGCAATTTTCATGAGATAAAATATCGTGAATTTCAATAATTATTTACAATTGACAAGTGAACAAGTTTGGGTTAGTTCTTCAAAATGATGCCAGGCCCATCTAGTCACCTATATAAGGATGTTCAGGTAAATATGTTTGAAAATCGAAACTGCAACATAGTTTAATCGACTCATTTTCCTAGTAGGTTTACTCATAGATTTCTGAGGATGCCCCGTAATAAAGGACGAAACGTCGATGATGATGAAGCATTATTTTTTCCTGACTCTCCTAACCTTGGAATTGTACAGAATAACATTCTGAAGGTTTACTTTCATACAGTTGTTTGAATGCCATTTAGGGGTCAGTAGCAGTAAAACTGTCAATTTTTGGAGGTTAGGTCAATTGGATTTTTTAATCAGTTCATTCCTATCTACAACATGCCAAAAATTCAACTATTTTCAGATACTTTTTTTTTTCTCGAAAAAGTGACATTTGGAGGCCAATATCGGAAAAACTGTTCATTTTTTGAGGTTAGTTTATTGGAATATCTGTTCAGTATATCAAAGTCTGCAACATACCAAAAATTCAGCGATTTTCATCGAGAGCCATTTTCCCTATAGTTTAGTGCGGGGTCCTTTTGACCATGGTTAGTGGACCACACAGTATATTTGAGATGATGATTTGAATACAATTTGCACATTCCGTACAGGGTGGTTCACCATAAATATCTCCCATTGTAACTTAGTTGTTTCTGAACCGATTTTAAAATTTCAAAAACCAATTAAAATGATTTCCCTAAGAGATTTTTCATTGTTATTGAGAAATTCACAGGCTGTTGGTAGTTGTTGATTTTTTACTGCAACACTATAGTTTATTTCACTATCGAGTTGAGATTATCATGACATGACGAATACAGCTCTACAGCATCTAGCGATATCATTTACAAGCAGCACTCATGCGCCAAATTGTCAAATTGTGCCAGCTTTGAAGTATTTTTTTTTTGCTGAATCAATTTTCATATCTGAACAATGATTTGCTGCGTGAGCTGGGTAGAGTGTAGCACGTAATGATTTAGGCAGTCAATAATGTTTTTCCCTTGTATCGGAGATCCGATATTTGAATATCTCATATTCACTTCTTACCACCTCCCCTACCAGTGAAAAACAAAAATGTTGATTAAAGTTCAGGATACAGACCCTACACTATACCCAAAACATTCAACAAATTAAATGTACATTCTTGATATACTTTTCAAACGCCAGTATTATGATAAGCAGTCTCATAAGCCCCAGGGCAGAATTTCAATTCGATTTATTGGGAGTTTCGATCATGACCAATAATCCACCCCTCTTCTCCCTGTACGATCCCTCTTGATCACCCTGCGAGTATTTTGTCGTCAATTTTTTTTATCATCTTTTCCAAGCCCTGTTTTTCAAATTAAAATCACACAAAAAAATTTCTTGGTACTAAACCTCTCACACATGTTATTTTGTTGAGCTGTAAATTTCTGATGAATAAATACAAATATATCTGCAATTTGCGTCTTCGAATACTCCCATCACTCCCAGGAAGTTAATCTTCGACCCGGTTTCATGTGAAGTGAGATTATGAGACTTCCAGATTATCTAGATCGCTTTCGGTGCACCTCTGGCCTGCAGTGCGGGGCGCCGGACCGAGGCACGCGCGGATTTGCCCGATTATTACAACGTATGCTCGCATTGAATTCGTATGCAAATAGCATACAGTTATACAGAATATCCTAGTTTATCGGTCCAGAGATTTGCATACGAATTTAAATTATCGATTATTTGAAAGATGTCTAGTCAATTGATGTTCGAATAAGTCGAGCTCCCCTCTCCGGGACCGTATGCAAATGTCTGGAAACTGATTAATAGGTCCGAATTCATTGTTTCGCCAAAGGGCATACATTCTTAAAACATCGACTATAAAACTGAAAAACGGCCACTTCCGGTTCGTATGCCGCCCTTGGGGAGTGACCTAGGCGTATGCAAACCGCCAATCGCCCCAATTTTCGTGAGATAAGATCATTGCACTCCATCGCCGTGCTTCTTCTTAAACAAAATTTTTATTTTTTTTTCCAACCGAAATGTGAGGTCAGGGCCGGGGCAAGGACTGGGTAGCGACTCTCCGAGGCACTCCTTCCTGTTAACTTGGACTAAGTGAGTGGGTCCCTTAAATGGCATACCGACTTAGAACATCGATAAAACCTGTGTCGCGGGCCAACAGTCTAGCAGGGATAGTTTGAAAGTTTGAAAATGTCCATTGTAACAGTTAGTAGGTATATGTATTCTGTTCATATTCCAGTATTTGATACAAATGAGAATTAATAAAGAAGAAATTGTATTTTACAAAGAAATATAATATGGAAAAACAGTTTTTTTTTACTCGCAGACTTCCAGAACTCGCCTACGGCTCGGCCAAGAATTTTGTTACTTGTTACGTAAATGACTATAACAAGAGACATTGACTTGATTGAAATTATACTAATCATCCGCGATTACTCCAGCCGTGTTGAGTGCTAACTTAAAACTGACTGCTCAAGTGCCGAGTGTTCTAGTTCAAGCAAGCGTTCAAGGTCACAAATAGATGTACTCGGAACACGAGTTTAGATTTCCATAAACAAGTAGATCATTTATCAATATAGCTAACCACTCACATGTGACATCAGTTTGGTAACTATATTAACTAACTAACTAAGTAACTCACTATACAATAAATTATCTATTTGCGATAGTTTGACGATTAATAAACCACTTTTGACAACTATAATAGAGTATTTTTCGGGAGCATACTTCAGATCTGTCAGCCATTTTCGGAATATAAAATAGCACATTCAAAATGCCCAGCTGATGCAACTAAATGAAAAAATACTCCAGGTGAAAACGAACAACAAATTGGAGGAAATAATAAATCTCAATAATAACACCGAATCTGCCCGAAACTCGGGTATGGTAGAAGGAATTACTAGGAAATCAGGCAATGATAGCCCAGTTCTTGATGATGCTAAAGATGGAGTAATCAAATGGCTGTATGGAAGTGAGACACCATAAATAACGCATATTTTTCATCGGAAACAGTACAGCCAGCTCTAGCATACAAACAGTACCTAAATATGTAAGCCTTCATTTGACCAGGTTGCGATTTTACTAAATATAAACTATTGCAGCACAAGACACGCCACCTACTACGGCATTGCAAAATATAATCGAGCCCAGCACAATTCTGCAAAATCTAATCTTTGACAGCACAACGTAGCTGATTCATATAAATAAATCGATTGAAAAAGTAGCACATACCACGTTATATCTCATCTTCAAAGTAGCACATACCACGTTATATCTCATCTTCAAAGTACTTTACTTAGGCAAAACTCAGAGACTATTTATCCTCAACGAACTAACCTATCCCTGATTGCAATATTTTTGAGGAAGGAAAACCGAATGGAGTGTAGAAACACATTGATTAATAATATATTTCAAAAGTTGAGTTCTTCAACAAAATTGAATAAAATGAGACTGTTTATCCTAAACGTACTAACCTATTTGACTTCAAATATTTTATGAAAAAGGAAAACCAGAATGAAGTAAAAAAACATTGGTGAAAAAAAAAAGTTGCAAAAAAAAGTTCGAGTTCACAGCGATTCGAACCATGAACCTTCAGACTGAGAGTCGACAGCGCTAACCAGTAGACCATTTGGGTGAATGAATTTACTGCGTACAAGAGATTGACAACGAGAAAGCTTCAGTTCTTGCGTTGGAGCACAGTATGAGATATGACGTATTATGGTGGGCGTGTCTTGTGCTGCAATAGTTTATACATATACAACACCAGCACTTGGTTCAAACTATGGAGACTGAAACCTAATCCAAGAAAATCACAGTTTGTTATATTTTATCATAGACCATCAGACAATCTACCTACAGTCACAATCAACAATGACAACCTCAGAAGCAAAAATTCAGCCAAAGTACCTTGGTATTGAAATGGACAACAAACTCAATTTGAACAAACACACAAAAAAATCGAAAATCAGTGCAAAGCAAGAGGAAACCATTTCCGGGCAATGAAATACAAAAACCACAGCTTTGATGTTGAATCTGCATCAAAAATATTCAAGATGATTTGCCGTCCAATATTAGAATAAGCTCATATCTTATACCTGAGCTGTGGAAAACCTGCCCTCAGAAACCTCCAAGTAGCTGAAACATCCACCCTCCCATGTATCACCGAAATTCGCCACCTCTAATCCACCAAACGAACTCTTGTATGAACTGACGAAAGTAAAACCAATCCAAAACAGATTCTCGGATCTGACAAGCAAATTCACAAAACAAGAACACAACATCAACTTCCTCAGACCCTACTGTAAAAAACATGCAGGAAGAGAACTCTTGTATGAACTGATGAAAGTTCAACTAATCCAAACAGATTCTCGGATCTGACAAGCAAATTCACAAAACGAGAACACAACATCAACTTCCACAGACCATACTGTAAGGAACATGCAGGAAGACACTATGCACTCTACAAGCACCTGGAAAGAACCATTTGGCAAGTCATAACAAACCTAGGAGAACAAGACTGAATACACAAAATCTAAGATCACATCTCCTTTTTTTTTCATAACATTGTATTTTCTACCATAACCTAAAAAAGTTGAAGATATAAAAAAAGGGACTGGCTACTGCACGGTCCGACCGTTCACTAATTTAGCGTTCGGGGCCGGTCCGACCGTACAATAACATTTTGTTCGGGGCCGGTCCGACCGTACAATAACATTTTGTTGGGGGCCGGTCCGACCGTACAATAACATTTTGTTGGGGGCCGGTCCGACCGTACAATAACATTTTGTTCGGGGCCGGTCCGACCGTACAATAATATATTGTTCGGGGCCGGTCCGAGTACTTTGAGATCGAGTAAGTTCTAGTTCCCACGAAAAGGAGAATCCTGTGTTGTTCAAAGAACATCGTGAGAGCCGAGGGAAAGTAGGTAGGAATTGGTGTTCTTCTTGAATTTCTGAAGGCTGTATGCCTCAGGGAACACCTCCCGAGGCAGCGGAGTTCCAAAGCTTTGCCGTTCGGTGGAAAAAACGAGCCCTGGGAAGCAGATGTGCAGCATGTCTCCAAAGTCACGGCATATGGATGTGAGGACTGAGCTCGGTAGAAAAGCAGATTCGAAGCTTTGATTGCAGCATTAAATCTTGTGCTTTTTTCTGCCTGGTAAAACGATTAACAATTAGAAATTACAAAAATAAACAGAGCAGTAGTAGTATTATGGTTTAGTACAGTTTTTAATGCCCTTCAAAAGTGAAAAAGTTCAGTCGATTATTTTGATGAAGTAGGTTTGAAGTGGATTAGTACTCACCTCCACAAGTGTATTATATAGACACCATGAATGCATGTCCAATGTATGGAATAAAACTTTAATTCAGGGTTCAGATACCTTTTAACTTTTTTCCTGGCAGCGTCTATGGTTCTTGAAGCAGTTATTGAGAATTGAACGTATTTCATTTTGCATTCAGAGTAGAATTTATTTTGGAAATTATCCAAATCTGAAAATGTCATGCCAGCATCCACGGCAATTTTCACTTCCACTTCTTCTGATGACATATTTTGTTTTTGATGACTGTTTTTATTATTTTTGCAACAACTTTACAACTCTACTCAATTTTTCAATAATCTATAAACTACACACATGGCATATAGAATCTTGAAAAATAATAATAATATGATAATACTGAATTGAATATACTAATTATTTTAGATATGCCAAGACCGTTCTGCGTTCTGTCAATTTATGCTGCCTGGCCAAGACGAGTGTCGAAGTATTCGGACCGGATCCGAACAAAATGTTATTGTAGGGTCGGACCGGCCCCGAACGCTAAATTAGTGAATGGTCGGACCGTGCAGTAGCCAGTCCCATAAAAAAAAGTAAAAATTGTTACTGGCTGAAGGACCCTAGATGGACATCTGGTTTAACCAATAAAGAACATTTATTATTATTATCTCATTTAAGGTATGGAATTCCATTCTGGGCGGTGTGTAATGATCATCTCATAAACTCAGTTTTTATATTGCAAAAACGCGCAGTAAGATATATGTGCAAAGCAAAAATTCGTGACCCCTGCAAACCCCTTTTTATTAAACACAAAATTTTAACAGTATATGCGATCTTTATCATGGAAACGGTGTGCTTAATTAAAAAACATCTAGGAAAATTTGACACTACCTCTGCACACCATGCCACCCGACAAGCAGGTAACATTAAATTACCAATTCCATCATCAGCTCTAGTGAAAGATTCAATAATTTATGTAGGCTGTAAGATGTTCAATCATTTGCCAAAAGACACCAAGGAAGTTGGATCCAATAAAAAATTCAAGCATAGAATAAAAGCACCCTTTTTGGATAAACCCTATTATAGTTTACAAGAGTTTTTTGATGATACATTTCAACCATAAAACCATTTTTATTAGGAATATTTTAATATGTTGTAATGTGTCCCTTATGAACTAGCTAAGTGTTCAAATAGATTTTAAAATGTTGTGTTGTTATAGTAGCGATTTCCTCTTGTTCTAGTCTTGATATTTATTTCGAGGTTATTTTTTTTACTTACTTTGTCAATGAGATTTTGCATCTTTGGACAATAAAGCATATTCTCTCTCTCTCTATTATTCTTATTCTCATGAATTATCAGCTGGGAGGATATTGGTCACAAGAATATGCTAGTGGCTCTCCTACTATCTAGATCTAGATTATGTACATTTTATATATCAAATCATCAGAATTCAAAAGGGAAATGGTTATTTATTTCATTATGATGATGAAGAAAAGATTATACAAACCCTAGATAAGCACCATAAATGTAAGAATGAGCAATTATTAGTTTGGAACCCACAGAGCAATGATAATATGCCTTGTAATCAACATCAATATTTCCTCAACAAATCAGCACTGAAATCAGCACAGCTGATTAGCAATAGGCTTGTTAAATCCCTCCAGAGAGTTGCTAATTTTTACAGAAGTGTTGACTCTCAGTGTATTATCTTCACCTTCATCCAAAGGCCCTAATTACTTCAAATAAACAGATCTTATAGGTATATTGATGTCAAGGAAGCATGCTACTTGCCTACTTTCAATCAGATGGGTATAAATGTTTTAGCATGAAGGCACTGATCACTTGAAATCCACAGATCTTATAGGCGTAATGATGTCAAGGAAGCATGCTACTTGCCTACTTTCAATCCAGTGGGTATAAATGTATTAGCAACATAATTATAAATGTATACTTACAACAAATTTGACAAATGCTGTGCCCTTAGAATGTTCAGTGAGTTTATCAATACAAATCAGAGCATAATAAAGGGGTCCAAATTGAAGCATACACTCTCTCAAATCTTCATTTGTGGCATCAAAAGGGACATTTTTTATGAATATTGTCTTTTCCTCAACAAGATCATTTGAGAAATATGTGATTTTTGCTTCATTTTTAGGAAGAATTTTTGTATCCACTGCTACATCATCTTCATCATCACTTTTGAGACTTTCATTATAACTATCACCTTCTTCATCACTTTCAGATTTACTAAATTCTTCATCTTCTTCCTTAATCTCAATAACTTCATCAGTATTGTTTTCAATTCTGACTTCTTTTTTTTGTTTTTGGTATTTACTCTGTGCTTTTGAAAAGTCTACAGAAATCTGTCTACCCATAAATTCCTTGCCATTTGTATGATGCCTTGCTTTTGCTGCTTTCTGCACCAAATCAAACTGAATGAATGCACAACCCACTAATTTACCATCGGATTTTTTCAACAGGTCCACATTTTTTATTTCACCATATTGTCCAAAATATTCCTTCAAGTTTTCATCTGTTGCTGTGAAAGGTAAATTCTTGACAACTAAACGGGCTCTTTTGGCTTTCAAAAGTTTCTTAGACAATTTTTTTTTCTCCCTCAGTCTTTCCTTCACAACTTCCTTGGGTAGTGATTTTCTCATTTCTGAAACATTAAAATTATGTTAGTATGCAGAATGAATAGACACTATGTCAAGTCTTACGTCCGTATGGTACCATCTAGAACCACAGGTATGTACAAAATATGTTATCTTCAAGAATTCAAGATTTCAAGATCTTGATTCATCAAACGTACAACATTTACAACAAACAAATTAAAATTACAAACGCAAACCCACGTGTTTTCGTGTTTATTTTGTTCTGAAATTTTGTAATTTGTATTTGGAGATGCTGTCAATTATGTCATTGTCTCTGCGTCACTGTCACTTGTAATTATCGTCTCTCGCCAGTTATTCAATTAGTAGCCTGCTGCCGTGCTGCGGAAATCTCAAGAAAATCTGAAGTTTATCAGAAGGTTATGAGAATGATGGAAGTAAGATATGGTGTAATTACTGATGCGCTTTTGTTTAAGAAATTTTACTCGACCTCTGGAGAACAGCGAGAGCAATGGTTCCGTCGATCTTCTAATATAGATGGCGACATTGCAACATTATAACATCTGTCAGTTTTGAAATTGTCGCAGATTTTTCGAATTGAGAGTTGAATAATCCCACTGTTTCATACATGTTACATATGTTCCGCGTACCTAAAATGCCATTTGCTATTTCATTTCCACCCGTCTCAGCAGCAATAGAAGCATTACCATCTAGCGGGAAAATGTAGAATCAACGTCTTGCTCGTTGTGACGTAGAAAAATCATAGTAGGCGGTCGAGTGATGAGTGATTGTTCTGAAATTTTCAATACGTAATAATAGTCAAAAAGTCAAATGCGCGCATTATATCTTACTCCCATCATTGTTATGAGGTATTATGAGGAAAAAAATATTGTTTCTGTATGATAAGGGACTCAATCAGCCTGGATAAATCTTTTTTCTGAAAAGTATATTTTTCGAAAAATTACTCAGATGAAACCAGAAGGTTATAGGTATGATCAAGAAAAATATCTTTTCTGCATAAAAATGGTGACTTGACTGGTGAAAAGAATTGACTCCTCGCAGAGATTTCAGTGCGAGCCAGCACCATGGAAGTCAGATACACAGCACAGACCACTGAGCTATCGAGTTACTCGAAGGTTATAACAATGATGGGAGTGAAATATGGTGCGCGTACTCGGCCATTATTACGTATTGAAAATTTCAGAAAAATCACTCGACCGCCTACTATGATTTCTCTACGTCACAACGAACGAGACGTAGATTCTACATTTTTCCGCTAGATGGTAATGCTGCTATTGCTTTTAGGCCGAGTGAAAATAAAATGGCAAATGGCATTTTTGGTATGCGGAACATATGTAACAGTGGGATTATTCCAAGGATTATTCAACTCTAAATTCGAAAAATCTGCGACAATTTCAAAACTGACAGATTTCATAATTGTGCAATGTCGCCATCTATTAGAAGATCGACGGAACCATTGCTCTCGCTATTCTCGAGAGGTCGAGTAAAATTTCTGAAACAAAAGCGCATCAGTAATTACACCATATCTTACTTCCATCATTGTTATAACTTTGAAGAAATAACTGAGAGAAGAAATATCGTGTGTTGGCTTCTTTATTAAGGGCACCGTACATTATGCTATTTACCAGCAAGTTCGATGCAATGCAATTTTGAATCGAACAATGCGCATGCGTCATGATATTTCACGGCAAGTTTCATGCAGGTTTCGAAATAGAACCGGTCCTATTTTTCCTGCAACTTCAAGGCAAGTTTAGTAAAATTTTTAGTAATATTCATCGTAGCATCTTGATAAAATACTAATTTCCTTCATAACGTGGCCTGAAACACCAAATAACCTCAAAAAGTACATTGAAGGCTCAAAAAACCTGAAAATAGTGAATATGAACAAGAAAATATGACAGAAATATCTCAAAGTACGGCGACTCGCGATAAATTGAGAAAATTGCGAGAAAACTGCATTGCCTCAAACTTGCCGAGAAATAGCATAATGTACGGCGCCCTTTAGAACCTGATCACAACAGGCAGCACATCATCAGCATGCTACTAATTGAATTACTTGCGAGAGACATTGGCACAAAACATGCGTATTTTCTCATCTCGTTGGCCGATTTGTCAGGATTCAGGAAGCGCGTATCAAGCTCACTGCTGCCGTTTGTACTTTTGTATTGAATTCGGTACCATTTGAATACTTTCGGTACGTCAGTACGACTATTTTTAAACCATATTCTAGAACCCATGATGATCAGTACCTTTTCTGTCATGGAGACATCATTGCATATATTCGAGACAACAGAACAGGAAGATAGCAACAACTGTTGACTACTATACAGTGGGTGACGGTGAATGTCTGACAGTGGATTTATTTTCTACTGTTAACGAGCAGTGTGTGATGTCTGATGGCGCGTTCAAATGCTGGCTTTTTGCTTTTTAACTCACAGCGTATTCTCATCTCATTGGCCGTTTTGTCAGAAAGTGTGGGATTTCAAGGTCATAAAGCTAGAAATAGACCTTGGTAGGTGTCAAACCAGTCAAACCTCACTGACTTTTCACGGTAAGAGCTCAGATACTATTCAACAAAAACTTTCAAATATTGAGAAAATGAATATAAATTGGTGCTATACATCATAATTATGCTGTGAGGAGAACTGTGATGGTAAAATCACTTTTGAAAAATGTAGTTTCTTAACTGAATTTATTATATTATATTATAAGTATTCTTTGATAGTACTCATGAGTCATCCGTAGTCAAAATCTAACAAGAAGTCAAAATGGCTCAGTTGGCAAGATCCAGGTCGCAGGTTCGAATGCTGCGACCAGACACATCTTTTTTTAATTTTAGGTCTGACGGTATACAGGCATCGATCAGTCCAGCCTTCGCCCTGAGTGACCTGTTGACGTCTGACCGACGTCGTTTGCCGATCTTTTGCCGCGTCGGCAACTTCTGGCAAGCAGGTTCTGGGCCGACGTAATAGCGACCGAAATTGTTTGCTGAGATAGGAAATGTACATATATTTCAAATTGAATAAACACATAAACATAACATAATAAATAAATGATGGATTTCCACTTCATTCACTCCACAAGTGCACATACTGGGCTGCACGTACTGGAGCAAGCATGGGCAAGTGGGGCAGATTATACCTTCTGTACTGGGGCAGAGTATACATTCTGTACTGGAGCAGAGTATACATTCTCTATTGGGGCAGAGTGTGCAGCTGGAGCACTAGCGTCTGTGGACAGGCGCAAGTAATAACTCCGTGGTAGGGGAACGTTAGTTAACTTGTGTCGAGTCTAATATAAGGAAGGAATTTTTTTTAACAATCAATCGACCTAGATGAACCTTTTTTCTTGAAGGAGACTTGAGGATGGAAAATATTGTTTCTGCATAAAAAATGAGAAAACCTAATCTATCTATTTTATGAGTATATCTGTACTTGTTTCGTTGACCTGTGTAAAACTTGATGTTCATTAACACCAAATAAAATATTCTAGAAGGAGAATTTTTCTTGAGGAAGGAAAATATTGTTCCTGCATAAAAAATGAGAAAACCTAACCTATCTATTTTATGAGTATATCTGTACTTGTTTCGTTGACCTGTGTAAAACTTAATGTTTATTAACACCAAATAAAATATTCTATTCTATTCTAACCTAACCTAACCGAACCTCACCTCTGGCCTAAACATAGAAAACCCCTAAATGAACCTATTTCCCATAGAGAATATTTTTTAGAAATCACTTGAGAACAAGAAAAAAATAAAAAAAAGATGAGCCTCGCACGGATTCGAACCCCGGCCCGCCGGCTTGGCATGCCGATGCTCTGAGCCAACCAGTTGCTTACGAGACGAAGTATGATGAAGTCATTCAGTCGGCGCCGCATAACGCCAGTCGCATTAAAACGTTCTCCCACCACGGAGTTATTACTTGCGGCCGTCCCGCAGACGCTGATGCTGGAGCTGGGTAGACTGGAGTTTCATGCTTCTCCACGACTGTGTTGAACATGTCGTGGTTATCAATAACGGAAAAGTAGACAGTACGAAGGGTGCTATCGGGAGCAGCTACGGAGCAGTAGCCCTTCACAGAGATCACCATCACGTTGTTCGTATTTGGGGTGAGGCTCTTGTTGGTAAAAAAGAATATAAGCATCTCCACTGAGTCCACTGACGAGAGAATTCGACGAAATTGAAGAAACAAGGGAATCATTGAACTCGTGACAAATTTTCGTATATAGAGGCCTGTTCGTTTGTATTGCTAAACTTGCTGAAGTAGATTTTTTTCCCATTGTTGTCTTTGTTCATGACATAATGTAAACAAAGAAAGTCATAGAAAAAAATCAAGTTCAGCAGGTAGAGCAAGGACAAACGAACAGGCCTAAGATGTCTGCAGTAGGCTGTTTAGTGTCCGCTGTAGGTGGTACCGCTGTGATTCGAAATAGCGTACAGATTGTAAAAAAAAATTATCATTTTTTTTTCACCCCTACCCGTATACGGACAAGCAATATTTGGCATTTCGATGAACTATAGCCACAAGAATAATTGAATGCACATTCTTGCCTTTACTTCATTCGAAATTACCCGTTCTCGCTCACAGACAAGCTATATTTGGCATTCCAATACAGGGCGTTTGGGGAATTTGGGCAAAATAAAATTTCAATACACATTCTTGCCTTTACTGCAAAAATTTTTTCGACGCACAATCGCGACACGATTCCAACAAAATTGACCAAAAATTCCATCACTCTTACTCTTTACACAAAATGATAATAACCCTCCCATCATCTATACCCACCAATACGGAACGTGAGCACATTGTACGGTCCGTGCTACAGATAAATCTGAACGAGATACGGAAAAATTTTATTGGGCGAAAAAATTGTTGAACATTTTTTAAAAATCTTTGACAAAAAAAATCAAATTTTTTCAATTTTCAAGGTCACGAAAAACTTAAGTAGTGGGGGGGGGAGGAAAATTTTATTGTTCATTGTTCTTACCTTACAGGTAGGTACTATATTGTTTTGTGTCTGATGATGACCGTAGTGGCGAAACTAGTAACACTGCTTTAAGTAATATACTTGGTTTTTGTCCACTCCTTTGAAAAAATCAGGACCACTTTGAGAAAATGGATGGTTCCCTCGACCGAATTAAATCGGATAATGTGTCAATGCAGATTACTGTATTGATAATAGGCATCAAGAATATGAAGAGTTTTATCATAATATGGATATTGGATATGTCATGTCTGGTCATTAGTGGGTAGGGCGTCACAAACCCAGGCAATTTGCTTTCTGCGTTCGTAAC